GTGCATGACTTCTCCTCGAATGAGCCAATATTGCTCCATTACATTTGAAGAAATTTCACTGAGATATAAGCAACTAAATGATTATGGATATGAACAAACCAATCGCTCTACGAAAATTCTCCATGAGAACCTCGGTTTTCTTGNCCTTCATAAACCTCTTTCTTCTCTCGAACGCGAAGACCTATAATTAATAACAGCACTGGAAATGACATTGAAATAATAATAATAACGATCACAATTATGATTGTAAGTAAACAATAATTTCGAGAATCATTTTTATAAGAATAAAAGGATATTGAAAGTTGGATATTTCAATTTCAGCATTGCAGACATCAGTTTTCACATCAAACGTCAACAAATTCAGAACACGTTTCCTGTGCATGACTTCTCCTCGAATGAGCCAATATTGCTCCATTATATTTGAAGAAAATTCACTGATCATGAGATATAAGCAACTAAATGATTATGGATATGAACAAACCAATCGCTCTACGAAAATTCTCCATGAGAACCTCGGTTTTCTTGACTTCAGCCGAAAACACCTCTGAGCCAACCATAGGACAGAATGGCATTTTGTCGCCTAATTCTTGTGCCATTGCAAGAGCGATCGCGGTCTAAAACAAGTAAACAATAAGTCTAGCTTATCGTTCTCTCACAAAGAAAACCTTAATAAACTAAATAATGATTTTAATGAATGAATTGCGCATTTATAATTCGTTCACAGATAGTATAAATTATGTTCTAAAATATCAAAATATGATATTATTAACAAAGAGCTTTATGTGTATAAAATCAAACACTGATATAATTCACTTTTCCAGTTCCCATTGGTCCAGCCAACAGAATTGCTCTGCCTGACATTTTTTTCGAACGAATCATTTCCACAATTATTCCAGCCGCTTCGCGAGCTTCCATCTGTCCAATGAAGCCGCCAGCCTAAATATCCATCAGTCAAAAGAACACTTCAGATCAACTGAAGCGACAAATTAAACATAGGAATTCACTTGATTTTCAAGTACTACAGGCAATTTTCAAGACCGGTCGTTGCGATTTTAAGTTTTTTATTTATTTAAACCAGTCAAAACAGAAATCTTCCTCAACAGAACCGTTTCAAGACAGTAACAACGATATGCAACATTGCAAAATAGTTGGTATTTTGCAAACACAATTCTTGGAAACACGATATGTTTATGTACGCTGAACATAGAAGCGTGAATGTTCTGTGACAGTTGATATCTACAGTCGGAATTACGACCGAATCTAAGCTATGATGAAAGTCTCGGTCCCGATTGTCGTCGCAATTCGGCGATTACCTGTATCTCCACCAGCTTATCAAATTTTGATGTAGGCTTGACTTCCACCATGGCGAAGGATGGCTTTTTCGAAGTTAAATTCAATTGCAGTTGAAGAT